TGGGTAACGCCGAGAAAACGACGACCATGACCAAGACTGGAACGTCGGTGCCGATATTCGTCAGCGTCCACATTTGTCATCATCGATTCGTCCTCGACGGCGGCTGGCACGGACCATGACCAACTCGGGCGTCGACAGGATCCCGCGACAGATTGGTCATGGTCAACGTGCTTCTTCCCCTGATTCTTCGGGCCAGGCCTCGTCCATACTCTCGCCCACGGAGTCCAGGACCGCCAAGGTGCGCTCGATGTCGTGGTCCGTGGCCTCGCAGGGGGAAGGACTCAGACGGAAATGGGGCAACTTACAACCAACTGTCATGGATCCCAACCACCTCGAAGCAACTCCGCCCACTGAAATACCAACCCCACCCGCCTCGTTAATGATTTAAGGGCTTCAAGCAGATCTCTAAAAGATCCTTCCAGGATCACTGCGAGATACTCGAATAATTTCTGAACAATCCGTGCAGAATCTCTGCTCGATCCTTGCAAGAACCCTGAACGACCCTGGTAGCATCCCTGGAATATGTGTTCGACTCCCATGTGAAATATGTAAGTCCCTCTTGTTAGAACATTGCACCTACGAATGGGTAGCTCGACGATGCTCATACGAAACCTACACGGCCCCCGTGCGAAAACTACGACATCAAATGTGATAAGTCGACAGCTCTTACCGACAACTTAAACTCACATGCAGAAACACACTCACATGGCAACACAACGGTTCGAATTTGGAAACTATCCAAACTCGGCGTCGTCGATCATGCGGCAGATATGCAAATCTCATTTAGAAGCGGGGCAATTCCCCGAAAGTTATCGATAACCCGTGTGGCACCAATTCATCATAACGCACCACAGCCCTGTACACTTTTCATGTGAACACCCTACAGCTGCAACGTGAAAGTCATAGACCTATCAGATCGAACATTCACTGTTCTAAAACACAACCTGAACAAATGTGTTGCAACAATTTGCGAGGTTTCTCTGAATCAAACTATACACTTGCAATTTGCATACTATGCAGCAGTCATAAGAATCCGATGTATTCTCAGATGACAAAAAATCGAGTTGCATCAGAGCATTGCCGGATACAACTCTCACGTGAAGCATTGACAACCCTAAAGTGGGGACGATGTAGTCCTCGTGTAAGTATATTCCATTTACCATGTGAAGACTACACTGCTCTCACGCCTGAATTTGAGAACCCAGAAGTTACTCATATATGTAGATACTGGCAGCCCTAGGGTTCCCAGGTAAAAGTGCCCACATGGAATATGCAAGCGATGCGTTTCTCCTACAGTGCGGGCGCGGCCGCAAGAAACTCTCGCAAGAAACCCAACCCTGAGAACCCGTGCGCGAGGTACACCTGAGGGGAAATCCAGAGCTCCCTGAACGCACGCAGCTTCTTCAACGGGTGCGGGAAGTCACCGCGCAGCGCGAGGAGCGAAGAAACCCAGAATACCCTGCCCAAAAGCATATGGTTTCTTGATGCGCGCCCACACTGTATGAAAGATGCTCTTCTGATTTGGATCGTATACACATCTCATTCGGAAATCTACAAATGTCTGGTGAGATTGCAGACTGACTCCCCACAACAACCCGGTGCAGTTCAGATTGTGCCACCTACACAACGCAAATGAAAACCATACACAATTTTCTCATGAAATTCGCCGGCCCAACGGGCCAGAGGCGTGCTAAGATCTCCGGTGACTGCTTTACAATCTTTCTATTTCTACTTCGCGCGCGCGGGGGGCGGCCCCTGGGGGTCCCCGGGCGGAAAGTACCCCGGCAAGGTCTTGAGAGAGTCCCGGGAGGAGTCACCAGGGCGCTCCAGCAGCGCACCAACGCGGCTCCGAGACGTCCCCGAGAGCCCCAAGAAGGGCCAAGAGGCTTCCAAGAGGCCTTCAAGATGCTACATGAGGGGTCCGAGATGCCACAAGATCGCTCCAAGACGCCCACGATGGCCCCCAGACGCCCCAAGAGGCCTCCAAGAGCACTCCCGAGAGGGCCCCAAGAGGCAAAATTCATTGCTTTTCCTAAGGTTTTGGAAGAATTTTCACGTTTCCACCTTTTCGGCTTCACGACACCCCAAGACGGCCCAAGAAGACCCCAAGACCGCCCCAAGAGGGCCCAAGAGGCCCCCAAGAGGGCCCCAAGACGGCCCAAGAGGGCTCCAAGACGGCCCAAGAGGGCCCCAAGGACGCCCCAAGAGAGGCCCCAGGGGGGGAACACGAAACAATATTTCGAGCCCTCGGCCCTCAGAAGTCCCCAGTCGGCCCCAAGAGGCCCCTAAGAGGCCCCAAGAGGCCCCCAACAGGCCCTCAGGAGGCCCCCAAGAAGCCCCCAAGCGGCCCCTGCAGGCCACCCAAATGCCCCCCCAGCACGCAAGCAAGTGCCAGCGACGCTACACTATTGGCCCCAGGCGGCAGACACCCCCCAGGAGGCCCCCAGGCGGCCCCAGGAGGCCCCCCCAAATTCTTCCTCGAGCGCGCAAGCAATTGCCAGCGATGCTACAATAGGCCTTCGGAGGGCGTCCTCGGGTTCCGGGACCGTTGAAAAAATGACGCTACCGAGGAAATCCACATACTTCATTTAAATATTGCGTTTGCTGTTCATTATCATATATGCACAATCCTGCATTCTAAAACCTACTCGCCAATCGTCGTCGTACTTGTCGTACTGGTCGTCGTACTCGTCGTACTCGTCGTCGTACACGTTGCCGTTCGATCCTCTTACTCGTCATCGTACTCGTCGTCGTACGTCGCCGTCGTGCTCGTCTTCGCATTCGTCGTCGTACTCGTTGCACTCGTCGTCGCACTCGTCCTCGTCCCATTCGTCGTCCAGTCGTTCCGCACTGCCGACGGCCACTCGGCAGGAGAGCCCAGAATCGAATCGCTAAATCGGATCGGCAATCGACATGAATCGGATCGGCGAAAAATCGGCAGCCGAATCGGGAAAAGTCGAATCGGCGGAAATCGGCAGGCTAGTATGCCTCCAATAAGAAATCGGAATCCAAATCGGAAGCCCAAGTCGAATCGAATCAGAATCGGAATCCATCGAAGTCGAATCGAATCGAATCGGAGGAATCGAAACGAGCCCTGACTCGGCCAGTCAACGGCGGTGCGCGATATGGGCCGGCGGAATGAGCGAAGCGATTAAATAAATGTGCCGCGAAGTATAGGCAGCTGTCCCAAGTAAGCTGTGCAGCTCTTACACGGCAGACTCAGAGCTCAAGTATGGTAACAGACAACTGCCCGTTCGAAAACTACACAACTTCCAGATTAAACACATGAATGTTACACTTACACATTCCAACTCTGGCACTTCTGCTGCTTCCCAAACTGAATGCCTGCTAGTCGGCTTTGCGGCCGTCTGAACGGGTTGGTACCAGTGGGTTGCGATGAGTCCGTCATGATGCGGCCTCGACCTCACTCCCTGGGTTGCTCGGCCCCGTGTCCTGCTCCTCCTCCCTCCTCCGCCCTCCTCCCTCCTGCCTCCACGCCGCTCTCCCCGTCCCGCCTCGTCCCTCCCCGTCCCCCTCCTGGCACCTCGTCCCCCTCCTCCTCGTGCTTGATTACGTACCCTCTTCCTCGTCCCCCTTCTCCTTCTGCTGCTGCGTACAGCCGAACCGATGACACCGAGGCGCCCACCAAGTGAACTACAAAGCAAAACAGATCAGCAGCCAGGGGCAGCCGCGCCTTCCCCTCCCCCTCCCCCTCCTCCTCCTCCTCCTCCTCCTCCTCCTCCTCCTCCTCCTCCTCCTCCTCCTCCTCCTCCTCCTCGGGGGCCGCAGCCGGCTGCACGCAGCACTGTTCGTACCCCCCTCTGCACAGACCCCCCTTCAAACAGGCGCGCTCCACTGCTCGCAGAGTAACCGTTCGCAGCTGGCCTGGATCTGCCACGGGGGGTCAGGATCCCTTGCTTGCGAGGGTGAGCACGTGCTCTCCCTGACGTGTTTTCGACTCTGCACTCTGCGAAAACTGGAACGCGCTCGCTGATCCTCTGTCGTCCGCCCCGACCCCTTCCCCCCGGGACTGGTCCGTGCCGCATGCCGGGCGATCGGGTCGGATCGCAGCGACCGCGTCGGATCGGACCGCATCGGCACGGCGCGGGAACCAGATCGGGTCGGAGCGGCCGCGGCGGCCTGCACAGCCGCGTGAGCGCATGTCCGCATCGGATCGTCGGAGCCCACACGCCACACGCCTGATGTCTGAAGAGGCTGTTTTTGGGGATCAGGCAAGTTTACTTGCATGGCATTCACCCCGCTCCACCCCCCCTCGCCCCTCTTCAGACGAATACCAGCGTGCAAGAGCCTTTCGACTTGCGTGATTCCCGCATGTGAACATCGTTTGCGGCTTGCTTCGGGTTCAGGCCCCCCCCCTGCCCATGCAAGTAAACTTGCCGGGGTCTAAACAAGCTCAAATTCATGTGATGCGATGTCCCCCGAAGTCCTGGCCCTTCCCGAGTCGTTTTCTGACGGTCCCGGGGCCCCCCGAGGGCCCCCCAAAGCCGAAAACTGCGAAAAACTTCCGCCTTGATGACGAACGAACAACACACACCCATGCCATCGGGTGCTGGAGGGAGGAGGACTGGGTAGGGGTATGGGCGCTGGTTGTCGGACCCTGCGGGGACCCCCATCTGACAACACGCACCCATAGCCCCCATCCGTCCCCCCTATGGGTATAGGTGTGTGCTGTTCGCTCGCAACGTGATGTCTTCAATACGCCAAACGGCCGACGAGAAGACGAGGGTCGTAAACGATATGGCATAGCGACCTTACGCCGCAGCTTACGCGGGCCGCCAGCGCGGAACGGTACATTCAACACGAAGGCGCTTATGAGCCACCTTACCTGGGCAGCTTTCGCGCCAGTGCCGGCGCGGTCGAGCCCGTTTGTTTGATCGTCGCTCACTTGATGTCTCCAACACGCTTGGGGAACGGGTCCTGAGGAAAGCGCGTCCTGGAACCTGGGGTCTTCCCCCCCGAACCAACTCTTCATCCTGGATCGTTCTCGGACAGCCCCGGGGCCCGTGGAAGGCCCCGAGAGCCCGAAAACGGCGAACAACCGCAGGACCCGTTTCCCTCTCAGGACCCGTTTCCCCCATGGTAGGACGAAGCCAGGGCGACGATAACTCGGGGGAGGATAAATCTCAAAATCTTTGAGATCCAGCGACTCTGGAGGATGCCTCGGGCGCCGCGGCCTTCTCAGAGCCTTCCAGCACGCTCTGAGAACGTTCTGGAACGCTCTGGAACGGATTTCCCTGGCGCGCGGAACGCGCCAGGGGCGGCTCTGGAGGCGCCGCCAGGGGGGCCCCGGCGCGGATCCCAGAAATCCGCGCGCGCGCGGATCGCCATGAAAAACTGATGGCGTTTTTTCTTCTTCGATTGCACTGATCCCCGTCTCCTGGGCCCCGAACCGGATGGGGCCGGCCCGGCCCCGGCACGCCGGATCGAGAAGGGGGGGCCCTCCCCCCTGGGCGGCGGGAGGGCAGCGGCGCGGCGCGGGCGGGGTCCTTGGACGCGCGGCCGATGCTCTTCAGGAGTATCGAGCAGGTGACCTGGCGGGACTTCTCTCAAGGCGCCCCCCGGGGCACGCTCACCCACACCCAGACTTTTTTGGTCTGCGGGTCGGGAGCGGGCCCCGTCCGGTCAAGAGCTACACGGGACGCGGGTAGCCCTAATTGGGGAGACAGGGCGCGGGCGGGCGGGGCCTCAGGCGGCCGGAGGGCTCAGAAAACAGGCGGTGCCGAAGATCTTCACACCCACCCACACACACACACAAATAGACACTAAGAGCCCCAGGGCTGCTGGTGCTGATCTGCAGATGTTTTCTGGGTGCTCGTCTTCGCCCGTCCCCACTTCCCACACGTTTCCCATATCTTCCCGGGAATCGGGCAGGCGGCTCGGCAGGAGTTTTTCGGAAGGTGCCCAGGACACACAGAAGCAAACATAGACACAGCAACCCCAGGATTGCACAATTTGTCTCGCCCAGGGGGCACACACATAAGAAAATACAATCCGAGGATTGCCCAAACATTTTGCACATGTTGCGGATTGTCGTTTTCCCCCCACTTCCCATATATCCCATATCTCCTTGGGAATCGAACAGGTGACCTGGCAGGACTTCTTTGCAAGGCGCCCCAGAGGCACACACATATAAATAGAGACAAGAAACCCCAGGCTTGCCGAGTTTGTTCTGCACATTTGTTCTGGTTTATCGTCTTTCCCCCCCATATCCCAATCCAGGATTGCTCATATACTGTTGCATATCTGGTCTCGCTCAGGGACACACACACACACACATACAGCAATTACAACTATCTCGAGACTGCCCAGACATGTTTGCACATGTTCTGGATTATCGTTTGCCCCGACAATTCCCCTATTCCCTATATCTCCTTGGGAATCGACAAGGTGACCTGGCAGGACTTTTTTGGAAGGCGCCCCAGGGGCACACAATAAATAGACACAACAATCCCAGGATTGCCAACGTATTTCTGCACATTCTTTCTGGGTCCTCGTCTCCCCCCCAAAACTTCCCACATTGTTCCCATATCTTCCTGGGAATCGGACAGGTGACCTGGCATGACTGTTTTGGAAGGTGTCCAAGGACATACACAAATAAACATAGACACAACAATCCCAGGATTGCCCATTTGTTGCTGTATATCTCGTCTCGCCCAGGGACACAACAGTCCCGAGATTGCCCAGACATAATTGCACATGGCCTGGATTATTGTCCTTCCCCCACTTCCCATATTTCCAATATCTCCCTGGGAATCGAGAAGGTGGCCTGGCAAGACTTCATTGGAAGGCGCTGGGAAGAGAGGGAGGAACAAGAAACAGCGCGGGGCGCAAAAAGCTGGCGACCAGCGCGGGGACACCCAGAGACGCCCCAATTCTGGCAGGCTGTCCTGCTGGCAGCGCGACTAACGGGATCCTACTCCGCAGGGTCTCCCCCTAACCATTCATCTTCCCTCCTACATATCGAAGGGCACGGCAACAAACGCCAATTCAGCCTGGATGCACTAGCACATGATATATAGCCGCACGCGCCACTCCTCTTCGCCGCAGCGCTACTGTCAATCAGTAGGGCGGCGTTGCTTTGAGTCTACGGCTACGTGTCTCAGGACATGGTCTCCGAGTCGAATTAGCGCGGGCAGGGGGATGGATTTTCGGAGGGGAGGGCAAACAGAAAGATCGAACAATGCCTCTTGATTTGTATCTCGCACTCAAGACTTACTGGTTCTGTCGCCGCATTCCCTCGCCAAGCTGCCAGGATGCGAAGGGTGAGGAGATGGAGGGAGGACAAACCAATTATCATGGAGGCGGAGGAGGAAGGGATGAACTGGCCCAGACACTGAAGGCGAGGGCCCCACACAGCAAGATCTTCGTCGACGCGATGCCGTCTTTCTTGTTGCGGTACCCGGAGCGCACACTTGGCGGCGCATCTCTTGGATATTGACTGGCCCTCCGCGTAAAACGGAACCCCCTCGGGTCCGAGCCAGGCTGCGTCGAGGAGGCAGGCATGTTCATATTGCTGCGCCCACAACGCAGCTCGGTGATGGAACGTTCCATCTGTTCTGCCTTGCGCTGTATGATGCGGCGCTGCGTCCTCCGCCTCCGCCTCGTCCTATGCTCGCGACCTCTCCGCTGGGCCTGCGGGGTCAGCGGCGCTCCATGTGATGCCAGCTGATGATCTCGCGCTGCCGGGCGACGATCGGATATCAACGCGTGTGACGTCCGCCATAGTCCACTCCGACGACACTGTGAGGCTGCTCGAGGACGTGGCGGGAGGGTCAAAGCTGGGCCTCTGAGCCAGGACGACCCGCTCCAGCAACGGCACGTCGCAGCCCGGGAACGTGTTCTTGACGGACAAGATTTGTCGAGTGGCATGGCTGCCCCACCGGCCTGAATCGCGTCGTAACTCCCCGCCGCGAAGAGGAGGCTTCAGGACCAGTGTTATTCACCGCCGAGAGAACAGGGGGGGGACTAAAACTAAGAACCCTCTGAGGTTACTCGATGCCCCGGAATCCAAAACGTAAGCACCTGCATGAGCATAAACTGTCGGAGCTCCGCGCGGAGAACCCAAGGGGTGGCGCTCTGGACGCCACAAGGGGAGTCCAGCGCCCATCTAAAAATCAGGGTGGACCTTCAAAAGCGACATTTTGTTTCTTAGAGCAGATCCAGAACATCCGCGCGGAGCTCCGAGAGATTGTGTATACTTCTACCGCGTTGCTTCTTCGCTTTTCTGTGGGGAGAGGAGGTCACCGCTACTGCGCCCTGGCAGCGCCCGCGGGTGCGCCCTGGCCCTGGTCTCGGCTGCTGCCGCGACCTCGCTGCCCTGGCTGGCCGCTCCGGCCCGCTCACCGCAGAATTCTTCCCCTTCTGAGCGCCTGCCTCCCTTCTCCCCCCGCGCGGCCTCCCTCTCCTCCCTCTCCTTCCCTTGCACGCCGGACGAACTGCCTATCGGTACCCCCGATTAGCCCGACGCTGGTGCGATCGCCTCCGCCTCGCCGCCGACGCCAAAGGCGGAGGAGGGACCGCGACCACCAGAGGACTGTCCTTCTTCAATTTATACCCCGAACCACCCCGCTGCCTCGAGACAGCCCCCGATGGCGGCAAAGCTCATTTCATGCCGCATTTCGTCCGCCGGCTGTGAGGAGCAACGTCAGGGTGGAAACGGCTCAGGGGGATAAACGTCGAGCTGGAATCGATCGGCGATTGGACTCCGCATGGTCTTGGGTGGCAACTCATGGGAGCCTCCCATACCATCTTGTCGGCTCTTGCGAATCGACGCTGATCGAACTAGTCGACTGTGATCGATGCTACATCGACACTAATCGACGCGAAATCGGCGGTACCTCACCGACTCCCAGGCGCTGATCGATGATACTCGGAGCTGGAGACGGGATGAAGAGGGTACATCAGGCTCCCATGATTTGCTACCGAACATGGTCCTGGGCGGCAACGGGCCATCGGGCCCTGTCGGCGATGATTGGGCGGCTGGTGGTCGATGCGTCCACCCCTCAGCCTGTCCCCCCTGACTGGGCCACGCGCCAAAGGGGAAAACTCCTCAGAAAGAGGCTGCTTCTTGGAAGGCGCCGGCCTCACATCTACAGGTAAGCCCCGCGCCGTTTAAGAAGCGGGGTACTTCTAAGAAGTCTTCCCCCCTCCCCCTCCCCCCCTGCGCCTGCCCCCCCTCACGTTACCCCCGACAACTGGTGCTGCTGCTGTCTTCTGGGCACCCGCCCGGGCCTGACTCGGCTGCAGGCCGCGAGCCCTCATCTCGTCGATCAGGGCCCATGCGTCCTGAAGCGGGCGACCGGCCCAGACTGGCCGCGGCTGCGGGTCAGGCATTGCTTCACGGGGGGGGGCAATCAACGTGGGGAGCGATGGAGAAATTGGACGCGCGAATTGTCCGGCGAACTGCGGTCCAGGGCAACTCTGGTTTGGGCCCCCGAGGCGCACATCTGCAACTCCGGAGTGCCCACAGCCCCGACGATGAGGGAGGGTTGGACGTCCGACTGATCAGGGACAACTGCGGCCCGGGGCAGCTCGTGCGGCCCCCGAGGCGCGACTCTGTAGCTGTACCCCCGACTGCCCCCGGCCCCGATGACTCGGGGCTCTGATCATGGAGGGGCCACCGACTCGACTGCACGCAAGAGGGACCCTGGGCAAGATTGCCCTTTGGTGCGCGGAACCCGGGGAGCCGCAGGGAGGCCGAACCCGAGCGCGCAAGACGCCACCATCGCGCTGCGTTCGGCGATCGGGAGGCCCCTTGTGGGCCCGCACCAGAGGTCACTCCGGCGAAGGGTCACTCTTATGCTAGAGGCCTCCGAAGTGGCGTCCGTCGGAGGATCACGCCGTATCGGCGACGTCGGTGACGCATCGGCGACGTCGGCGTGGACAAAATCGGGCTCCACATCGAGCCGCATCGCCGATGCATCGGCGATGCGGCGCGATCCCCCGACCCCATCTACTCGGACCCCATCTAGGAGGCCTGGATATGTGCAGTCTCCTCCTCCATCTCCTCCTGCTCCTCCTCCATCTCCTCCTCCTGCTCCTCCTTCTCCTCCTGCTGCTCCTCCTCCTCCTGCTGCTCCTGCTGCTCCTCCTGCTCCTCCTGCTCCTCCTCCTCCTCCTCCTCCTCCTCCTCCTCCTCCTCCTCCTCCTCCTCCTCCGCCTCCTCCTCCTCCTCCTCCTCCTCCTCCTTCGCCTCCTCCTCCTTGCCCCCCTGGATAGGAGGCCTAGGGCCTAGGGGGAGCAAGGAAGGAGGGTGCACCGCTCGTGCACCTTCGCCCCCCCCCATGCAGCGCTCGAGCCCCCGCCCCTGCACCGCCCCCCCCGAAATGACAGGCGCCCGGCCCGAGCGGTGGAGGCCCCCGCCACCTCCGGGCCCTCGCGAGGCCCCGCCGCCTCCCCCGACGTCGAGCAGATCGGAGGGGGGCGCACACCCAGACGTCCCTTTTGACCCCTGGGCCAGGCATTTCTTGCTCACGCTGCGCGCTTCCCCCCCAGCGGCGGGCCCTAGAGTGCCCCCTTGTGGACCGATCCGGCTCGAGAAGTGCCGCAGAAGGACGGAGTCTGGGGCTCCGGCCATGATTTTTCACGATATTGTATTTAAGTAGCATGTTTTTGTTAGACCCCGTCAAATTTACTGGCATGGACGGGGGGGGGCCTGAACCTGAAGCAAGCCGCAAACGACTTGCGCGCGCGGAAACACGCAAGTCGGGAGGCACTTGCACGCTAGTATTCGTTTGGAGAGGGGCGAGGGGGCGAGGGGGCGGGGGGGGAACGCCATGCGAGTAAACTTGCCTCAACCAAAAAAATGACTCATTTGATTTCGCGACGTCGGATCTGAGGGCCTGACGTCGAACTGATTAGATGGGGACGCATACCCAAACATCCCGCGTCGTGACCAAAACCAATGCAGAAGGTCTTTGGAGCAACTTTCAGCCTCCAGGGCGACTGTCAAAGAAGTGCCCAGGATGAGAAACTTGTCCCCAGGAAGGGCTCCAGACCTCTGGAGAAGCACGTTGCGAACACCCCCTCCAAAAAAAACGACGTCGGATGTCCAGGTAGGTGGGGTACGGCCAGAGGTGGGTTTCAAAGAAGATCTCTCTGTGCGGGCCCTGGAGACAGGCAATGTCAGCCTCAATCCAGGTTCTCTCCGTAACCCCCTTTAGCCCACGCCTCTTCGGGTGTGTACAGGGCACCACTTAGCAGATCACTAATCGACTTGGCAAGCTGAGGGTTCTATCAACTCCGCTCTACGTACCCATGCATCCGACGATGTTACTGATTCAATCCGATACATCCGATTACCCACACAGTTACGTACCCATACATTTACGTACGCATACATCCGATCCGACGATGCGCGGCCAGAGGGGGCCCGACCCCTTCCCGGGACGAGTGAGGGGCGATGGCAGAGGTCGGGACGAAGGTGGAAGGGGTACACCCATCCTGCGGAGGAGGTGGGCAGAAGCAGGAGGCAGGAAGGCGCTGAAGGCAGACGGGGCTCTGGCCCGCCTCGTACAGTCGGAGCGCATGCGAGAGGACACGCGACAGGACACGAGACCCCTCCGACGGCAACGTGGCCTCCAACAACCACAGGGCACAGGGGCAATTACCCTCAGTCCGCACACGCAGAAGACACGAGAAGGGATGGACAGGACACAAGAGTGCCCTTGATTTTGCAGGGTCGACCTGCCAGGGCCTGCTCAGGCGTGTCGGCAAACATGCTGCAGCGCGCGGAGGCTGCATGGGAGGAGGCGCGCGCGAACGCCCGCGGGCAGCGGCGGGAAGAGTGGCATCGCTGGGTGCGAGACGGTCTAGGAGGAATCCAAAAGGCACTGACACCGCTACACTCCCCAGACCTCTCCTTGGGCGCGTTCTGACCAGGATCTCGAGGCGACCCCAGCGGTGGCGACGAGGGCCACCCAGGTGGCCCCCAAAAAGGGGAAAAACGTCGAGAGGTAGCGGTATGGGTACCTTTTTGGGGTTGACCCCAAAGGGGGTCCAACTGAAAGGGGGTGATGCAATAGGTTTGTGGCAATTGTATTGCAAATGCATTGCGCCAAAGAATTGCATTGCACTGTATTGCAGCTGACGTATTACACACGAAGACCGGCAATACATTTGCGCCGCGGAATGTACTGCACGCCCCAAATCTCTTGCAACCCACACACCTACCGTACCAAACCTATTGCACCACCTCCGTGGCGCTGACCCCGTTTTGGGCCACCCAGACTTTTTTTTCTGAGGTCCGGCGAACGGCCAGGGCTGGCTCCGCCGGTGGATCTGGGGCGGCGGCCGCCCCGACACCGGGCCGGTCCCCGACATGCTGCCGGTCCGACCCCCAGAGGTCCGGACCCCTTCCCCAAGACCAGTTTCTTATCCTGAGCCGTTTTTGTTGATCCCCAGGCCCGGCAAAAGAACCCCGGAGGCCGAACATAGAAGACAGCCTCCGCCTCGAGTTTGTCATTGCGTTGGATCTCTGGGCTCCTGACCCCCTGCGCGGAGGGCCTGCGGCGCAGCTGCGCGCCCTCGATGGCCTCCGTTGGAGGGCCAGCCCTGGCCACGGTGGTGCGGCGCCGCCCCGCGACGATAGGAGCGGCTCTGTCCAGGTGCTGCCGTGGCCTCCCCGCCCCTCCCTGGCCGCGCCCCCCTTGACGGCCGAGCTCGTGCTGGAAGCCTGGAAGCCCAGAGATACAACGGAAAAATCAGGGCGGAGGTTTGTCGCGCTGTTCGGCCTCCAGGGGCCCTCGCTGGGACCCAGGACTGTCAAAAGCGTCTCAGGATGAGACACAAGTCCCGGGGAATGGGTCGAGACTTCTGGGGACCCCGTATCAAAAAAACATGACGTCGGATCTTTGGGAATGGACACCGACACCAAAACAGGAGGCTTGCGTTCACTGGGAATCCTAGATGTTGGTGTCGGTGGTGCTCTTTCGGCCACCTAAGGAAGCCCAAAGATTGCCTCCATCACCGAGATTGGGATCAGCTTCCCTCGGTGGAGGCAACCTGCCGATCTTGGTGCTGGTGCCAGCCTCCAGGTCTCCAATCCTTGGGTGCGCTCCCGAGTCGGGTGTTGCTAGAAGTGTCCCTGGCCAAAGGTGCCCCCAGCTTCGCTCCATCCTGGGGGCACCTTGGGCCAGGGGCACTTCTAGCAGCACCCGAGCGAGGACGATGCCGAAGCGCAAGAGGGCTGGCCCAGACCTCCGAGGGATGGGCCAAGGAGCCACCCGAGGCACCAACCTCTAACCGAGCAGTAGAGCACCATATAAGCACGCCGAATTGGAGACACAGAAGTGTGAACGCCCCAGCTGCCCAACCTGTGGGATGCTCTACGGGATGCTGGAGCGTCTGCACACACCAACACACAACACGCACACACTCACCCACACACACACACACACACCTACAAGCACGCACGCACGCACGCACACGCATACACACACACACACACAAACACACACATTTCCTTCGCTGAAGCGAGTGGCTCCGTGACCGACTACATAAACGACGTGCACATATACACCGAGCCCCTCCGAGGGGAGACGGCACGGACGAGGATAACGTTAAGAGCGCCGGAGGCCCCTGTGACAGGCCCCATCCTTGGGGCTGGTCCGCAGGGTGGCGTCGATGAGCTCGTTGAACGTGACCACGTTGGGCAGCAGCCCGGCGCCCCGCATCGACTCCATCACGGCCCGCGCGCGCCGCAGCTCGCCGTTCCTCCGCGTGGGCGCAGGCAGGGCAAGGGCCAGAAGCAGCCGGCGTCGCACCGGCAAGCCGCACCGCAGCAGAGCGCGCGCGCAAGGGGACTGGCTCAGGGGGGGTCCCGGGGCCCGAGAAAAGACGAAAACGCCCAGCTCCAAAAATGTGGGACGCCAGCATCTCAGGGGAGCATCGACCTGGAATCGGCGATGTATCGCTCATCCATCGGAGATACGTAGGCCCTAGGTAGCGAAACTGGCCCGTATCGGGGTGGGCTATCAGGCCCCAATCTGCGATGAATGGGCGATCGGGGGTCGCTGTATTCCCCCCTGAGCCTATCCCCCCAAACGTTGCCCCTGAACACGCATGCCGGCGCGCATGCCGGGGAATTGCACGCAAGAGTGGCCTTTGGTGCGCGGGTGTAGGGGGCCGCAGGGGACAAAATCCAAGCGCGCGAGTTACAGTCGACCCGTGTAAGAAGGATACACGATAAGGATGAAAGGGCCTTGGGAGGCCGTTCCGAAGCTTTTCTAGCGGGGCGCGGCCAACGAAAGTGGCCAAGGATTGACCGCGAAGGCAAGGATGCAAGGATACCCTTGTTGGGAAGTTGCCCGTAGGGGGCCGCAGGGGGCAAAATCCAAGCGCGCGAGGACCCCTGTGGGAGGGTCACCCAAAGCTCAAGCTGGCGCAGGATCACCCTCACGCGTATCCGATCACGAGGCCCCTGTCCGCGAGCCGCCGCGCCCCCGCGCCGCCCCCATTTGGAGAGAATCGCAAGAACACCCTGGCCAGCACTGCGACGCGCGCGACGCGCGACGAATCTTCGCGCCCCGGAAGCTGCCCCAGCGGCGCCGAAGCAGGTGGTCTCAGAGGACCGCGCCGCCTCGCCGATGCGTCGGCGATGCATCGGCGACGCATCGGCGGCGCAGCCGGCGCCGGCGGCGCGGAGATCGGTCCCACGTCGAGCCGCGTCGCCGATGCATCGGCGATGCGGCGCGGTCCACCGACCCCATCCGCTTCAACCCCGTGTGGGCGGCCTGGAGCCCCCCCAGGGTGACGCACTGCCATCGTGCCACAATTCGGTTGGGCATGTCCCCCTACAGGCGGATTCTGGACGAAAGAAAACCCCGTAAATGAACCCAAAATAGTAAAACAAAACAAAAAATCGACAACTCGTCCCCAGACTATTTTTAAGTTATTTTTGAAAATACCTCCTGTAGAAGGGCATGCCCGACTTCATGCTACAAGAAGGAACGCTGCGTACGGAACGAAGGGATCTCGTCTGGCCACGGCGAGCCTCGGCCACGAGGAGGTCCCCCCGACTTAAGTCTGAGGAGCGGCACAGAAACCAGAGCCCTGTACGCCTGAAGCTCCTAAGCCCCAAACGGTCCTCACTAGAAGAAACAGAAGAAAGGGCATAAGCATAAACTTGTGAAACTCTGCGCGGATTTCCTGGATCTGCGCTGGACTCCCCTCCCTGGCGCGCGGAACGCGCCCAGGGCGGCGCCGGAGGCGCCGCCGGGGGGGCCCAGCGCGGATCCAAGAAATACGCGCGGAGCGCCAACAGTTTATGTGTATGGCACTTCTTCTTCTTCGATGGCTGTAGAAGAACACCCCGCGGCGCTGCCGCCGCCCATGCGGTCCTCAGGTGGGCCTTGATGATGGTGTTGTAGGTGGTCACGTCGGCCGTCTGCCGCGGGCAGCGCTCCCCCCAATCCGGTCGTCCATTCCCACCCCCCCGCTCACTCCTCCTGGAGCCTTGCACGAGGCGCGCGCTCCGAACCGAGGTCCCCCACGGCGACAGCGCACCCGAGGGCCGACCAGACCGGCAGCGAGACCGACACAGACAGGTTACACAAGCAGCAGCAGCAGCAGCAGCAGCAGCAGCAGCAGCAGCAGCAGCTTCACAGAGGGCGCAGCGGCGTAGATCGACGACACGGCAACCGACGAACGTGCGGAACAGACGGGACGCGAGCGACTGCGACGCAGCCGAGCCAACGGAGCCGTGGTTCAGCCGCCGTCAAAAGGTGGTTTAACCAAGTGCCCTGGATAATAACTCATACCCCCCCTTCACCCATAAGCCTTGATTCTCTCCAGCCAAGACAGAGTTGGTCGGGGGAGCGGGGCGGCGAGGCCGAACTTCATTATCGCGGGGGAGAATTAAGAATCGATCGTTTATTATCATCCCTGGGACCCTGAACTTTATTATCCCCCAGGTGTTATTCTCAGGGGCATATGGTCAGCTGTCTCCAAGTAGTGGTTCAGCCGTGGGCATGCGGTTGTTCAGCAGTCGGCATGGACACCCACTCGGTGATTCTCGGCTGGCCATCGGGTCATAACTCAAGCCTCCGGCGGCCGTCTGGGGCGATCTGGGCACCACCACAAGAAGAAAACTCCCAACAAGGCACACCTGCTGGAACGCAGCCCGAGGCAGGAGGACCTGCAGGACCCCCCCCCTCGCTCCCCTCCCACCGTGTCTCCTTCTCCTCACGACCGATGTCTTGATCTTCTCGATCCGGCGCCCTCAGAAGACCCGACCCTTAGCCTTTTTCGCCCAGGGGCCCTGGTTCCCATCCCTTCCTGAGAGCCCTAGGGCCCAGCAAAGGACCGCGGAGAGGCCGAAATCAACGGAACGCTGGATGCCTGGGTCCTCGCCTGCTCTCCGCTTCGCCGGTCTAGGAGGCTCCACCCTCCTCCCCTGGCCAGTCCTGGGTCGCGTCCTGACGATAGAAGCCCGGGGAATCCAGCCGTGACGACGAGAGAGTTCCCCCCCGAAGCAAAAAAGACGTCCTCAGAACCTCGAGCCTCGAAGTTAGATCCTCCAGGGTGGACATCGGACGCCAGGCCTCGAAGTTAGATCCTCCTCCTCCTCGTCCTCCTGTTCCTGCTCGCCCTTTTCTCCTCCTCTTCCTCCTCCTCCTCCTCCTCCTCCTCCTCCTCCTCCTCCTCCTCCTCTGCCTCCTCCTACTCGGGTTAGAGACCGACATCGGCGAAACACCTCCGCCCTGATATCTTCTAGACTTTGGGTGTCAAGGCCCTGACCCACCTCCTCTCGTCTTCAGGAGCCCATTCGCTTATTCGGGCCGGTCACGGGCGTGATGGGAGGGGGGACGCTCCGCCGATCACGTCACGGCGGGGGTGCGCCTGGGGTGACGCAACATACTACTACGACCACTACTACTACTACTACTACTACTACTACTACTACTACTACTACTACTACTACTGCTACTACTGCTACTACTGCTACTACTACTACTGCTAGTAC